AAGGGGAAACAACAAAGAAGGAGGCAACAATGCTTGATTTAAGAAAAGGTAATCATTACCTTGCCTATGTAATTTTAACCCCTCATGTTATTTTCACAATAAAATACAAAAAAAATAATCAAAAAAAGAAAAAAGGAAATAAAGAAACAAACTGAAAAAAATAAAATGATGCCTTCAGCCAGATTTTGGTGGCTAATAATTTTAATTTTAGCTACCCAGGAAACTCTGATCTAGAAGATGATTCTTTCAAGCCAGTGGGACAGCAAAGCCCACAAGACTCCATCTTCAAAATAACCAACAAAAAGCAAAGCTTTGGGGCTGGGAATGTGGCTTAGTGGTAAAGTCCTTGCCTAGTATGCATGAAGTACTGATTTCAATTCCTCAGCAACACATAAACAGAAAAGGCTGGAAGTGGTACTGTGGCTCATGTGTTAAAGTGCTAGCCTTGAGCTCAGGCCAAAAAAGCAGGGCTTCGAGAATACATGGCATAAGTAGTAGTGCACCAGCTGAGTAAGCATTCTAAGTAAGTGTGGGGCCATGAGTGCAAACATTAGTACAGGCAAAAAGAAAAGAAAGAAAAAGCTTTGAAACAGCCTCTCTCCCTCTTTCTCCATCCCTATATGTATCTTTCCCTTTCTGCTACTTCAGAGGTGGAGATCTGGAGGATCAAGGTTTGAGGACAACCCAGGCCAAAAAAAATAATTTCACAAGACCCCTCCCCCCCACCATCTTAACAGGGAAAATTTGGGTGTGTTGCCATACACCTGTCATCCCATCTTTCGTGGGAAAAGTCAATCAAAATATTACAATGCAGACCTGCCTGGGCAAAATGTGAGACCCTATCTCAAAAATCAGGAAAACAAAAAGGACTGGTGTTAAGGTTAAAGAAGTAGATTGTCAGAAGATGGCGGAGGAGAAGCTGGAAGCTAAACAAGCTCTTGCATAGAAAGCAGTTTAGTGTTTCAGTGAACAGTCCTAGGCTAGAGAATCACACCAAGTGTGCCATCACAGTACAGAGAGTTTGGCCAGAGAGGGAAAATCCAGGCCAGGAGTCAGATCTCAGCACTTGCCAGTAGCTGGGGCTGCACGGCAGCAGAGGCAGCTCTAGCCACCATATCTACAATAGACAGAGTCCCGGACAAAGACGCCAGACAGCAGGCGAGAGGATTCTGCTCAACACCGGCAAGAACTGACAAGGAGCAGATATCTTCATCCTGCAGATCGCAGAACAGAGATGGCCCAGGAACCAAGATTCTGGCATGAGTAGAACCCTGACATCCTCCTTCTCAAGGAGCAGAGGAGGGAAGGTTGCCCCTGCCCCACTAACGGAGATCTCCATCTTTGATACTAACAAAGGCCTGGCTGAGCAGCTAGCTCCAACTCAGGCCTTGGAAGGAAATAAAAGAGTCATTTAGCAGGACACAGGAATCTGATCTGACCTACCAGGCTTAGCTCCACCCAGGGGAATGTCACCCAGCCCAGGCAGGAAAGCTCTGCCCTCTCCCCAGGAGTGGCTTTCTTCACTGGGTAAACAGAGCCAGAGGCTGCCCCTCCCTACAGCATCCTAGACAAGCAATTGAAATTCAGTAAACATAAACCCTGAGAATGGCTCTAGGCTGGGCTCTGAGTGTCTCAGGAGCTAGCCCCTCAGGGAAAAGCTACTGTTTGCTGAAAGGCCTCAACTCTACCCAGAACCTAGCCTCATCACAGCATCTCCAAACTAGAGGAAACAGCCATCTCCCTCTTTTGTGATACTCAAAGCAGATCTCCTTCCCACAGAACTAGCCTAGGAGGAGGATCACAAAATCCTGGGTAAAGCAGAGCATTTTTCTGCCTGCTCAAACTGGCAAGAAACCAACCAAGCCACAGGAAAATCAAACACCACAAGCAGACCAGAGACTCCAACTAGAGACTGGTTATGGACACAAGGGAGATACAGGACCTTCCCATTCTCCCCCACCATCACCCCCTAAAAAAATCAAAGAACTCTTTTTGTACCTTTTTAAATTTTTATTTTTTAATTGATTTTTAGTAATCTTTTTTCCTCTCAATTTTTATTTTAGGTGTATATGTGTATTTGTGTGTATGTGTGTGTATGTGCTTTTAAAAAAAATCTCTTTTGACCTTTTGGTCCTTTTTATTTATTCATTCTTTTCATTTTAGTTCTCTTTCTTTCTTTTTTGCGTGACTTAACTGCTGTTCTGCTCATCCCCAGATATATACCTGTCGTCGATTAGTAGACCTTATCCCCCATTGTGTACATACTTAATCCAGAAATGTATTACTCAATTCACGTTTTAGGATTAACTTCTTTAATAGCAGTATTATTTCTTTATACCTATATAATTTTCAAGTAACTAATTTTAAGAATTTTTATTTTTAGTTTTTCATGTCTCCTTTCTATCCCTCCCCTCCTCTTATCCTATCCTTTCCTTCTCTCAATATCATTTCTTTAAAGTTACATAATTTTTTGGGGGGGGTCCGGTTGTGGGGCCTGTACTCTGGCCCTGGGTGCTGTCACTCAGCTCTTCAGCTCAAGGCTAGCGCTCTACCACTTGAGCAACAGTGCCACTTCCGACTTTTTTCTTTTTTGCTTATGTGGTGCTGAGGATTCAAACCCAGGGCCTCAGGCATGCAAGGCAAGCACTCTACCACTGAGCCACCTTCCCAGCCCAAAGTTACATAATTTTTAAGTGTTTCACTTCTTAAATTTAAATTTTTGTTTTTCCATTTTTTCTTTTCTTTTTTTAAAATCTCTCTCCTATCATTCTGTCCAATCCATTTCCCTCTCTGAGATTAGAACTTGGTTAAGTTCACTCTCCTTTTACCTCTCCACATCCCTCTAATCCTATTTTTCCCCACATTTCTCCCTAAACCTAATAATTTCTGCTTTGCCAAATTCTTCTTTGCAGTTCTTAATCCATAGTTGTTTGATGTTGAATAGATTGTGTCTGTTGAACTAAATAGTATCTGCAGCCATTTTGACTGCAACTACAGGACTTTGGTTGATGCTTGCCTTAAAATAGTGTTCTAGCACAAAATTGGTGTTACTTTCATACCAAATGGACAGAACAAGCCAGAAAAAACACAAGAAAAATGGCAAGTCCGGGTATCTCAACTCCCACTCGTGATAATCAGGTGACAGAACAGTTAATGAATAATCCAGAGGAGAGTTCCCAAAAAGCTCTACAAACACTACTGGTAAACATGGTGAATGAAAAGACTGAAAACCTGCAAAGGACTCAGTGTGAGTGTGATAGGGAGAGAGAGGAGGCAAACCAAAGATTAATATAGGAATCTCGTGAGCTTGAGGAAGCTACTCAAAGAATGATACAGTAATTGTGTGAGCAGGTTGATAACAGTCAAAGAGAAATGAAGGAATTGAGTGAGCAGGCTGAGAACAGTCAAAGAGGAAGACAGGAATTGCATGAGCAGGCTCAGAACAAAGAGCAACACAGGAAATGCGTGAACATGAGGAAGCTAATCAAAGAGTAATACAGAAATTGTGAGAGTGGGATGAGAATAGACAAAGATCAATAGAGGCATTCATGGAATCCATAGACAGCTGAAGGAATCCAGGGAGACCACAAATGGAATTCTGAGTAGAGCCCAACAGAAGGAATGGGAGCCCAAGGAAACCATAACCAATCAACTAAGTGATTTGAGAATAAACACTGAACACCAAATTAAGGAAGTAAAAAAGTTCATACAAGATGTAAACAAAGCTCCAACAAAGAATTTGAAGCCATCAAAGCAGACTAATTAGAAGGAAAAGAAATAAAAAAAAAAAGTAGAAAGCCTTGACAGTAGGTTAGGCCATGCAGAAGATCGAATCTCGGGGATTGAAGACAGCATAGATATTATAGAGAAAGAACATACAACTATCCAAGACAAATCCAAGAAATATCATAGACCTACGGCATGAAGATGTCAGCTCCAGAGTAAACATATTTCCAATAATGTTACTTAGTCTGAGAGGACGGTCTCCTTGAACTTGGCTTTCATTCCTCTTACTCTACAAACCAAAACCTCACCATATGGTTGAACTAGAACTTCTCATAATACTTTCTACTTTTCCTACTATTTAAGAGCAGTAAGGCCTCTTAAGATCTTATGTCTAAACAGCCTTTACAACTTGTCTACAGTGCTATGAGCACTTGTTTTCAACACTATATACTTTTCGTTAGAAAAGACCACCAGTAGGTCCACTGGTACATTTTCCCTATAGTTGTGAATAACCTAGAAGTTGCTTTTCATATCCTTGAGGAGTGGTACTGTATTACAGAAAGTGTTCCAGATGCATAAAGCAATCATTTCTACATTTGGCTTACAGTGAGAAATATAAACGATGCCCCCATCAACAACTTGATAAGTGAGATCTTTGCTAGGTGTTGATGGCTCACACTTGTAATCTACTCAGAAGGATGAGATTTGAGGATCACAATTTGAAACTATCCCAGGCAGTGAAGTCCATGAGACTTTTTAATTATTCAGAAAAGGCCAGAAGTGGTACTGTGGTTCAAGTGGTAGAGCACTAGTTTTGAGAAAAAGTATCTCAGGGACAGGGACAGGCCCTGAATTCAAACCCCAGAACCAGCCTCCTCAAAACAAAAATTTCAAGTTGATGGGTGTATGCTGTTTTAAGGAGGTGGCATGTTCTGGTCTGTTCTGAGGACTTTATGGCAGTAGCAACTTTCTTTTTTTCTTTTTGCCAGTCCTGGGGCTTGAACTCAGGGCCTGGGCACTGTCCCTGAGTTTCTTTTGCTCAAGGCTAGCACTCTACATCTTGAGTCACAGCACCACTTCCAGCCTTTTCTGTGTGTGTGGTAATGAGGAATTGAACCCAGGGCTTCATGCATGCTAGGCAAGCACTCTACCACTAAGCCATATTACTAGCCTTGCAGCATGGTTTTAGACCCAAATCAGCTTAGTGAACCATATTGCTAAATGAATCAACAATGTAGTCACAGTAAGTGCCTTTGCCTAATGACGGGTCTTACTCAGTCCAGCAGATCTTGTTCAGTAGTTCCTCCATTGTCATGTGGTCCCATACTTCTGCAAGGGGTGCCTTCCATGGAGCATCACTGGGGATCTACATTCAGAGAAAGATTCAAATAAGGAAGACAGTTTTACATTCGAAATAACTATCCAAACAATAGCAACAGCTCTCACAAGAAGTAAAATGTACATTTTTTAAATTCCTCCCGTAGTTTATTTTACTGAAAACAATGTTATCTGAACAGCTTTCCTGGTCTAGGGAAAAAAGGATATGACTTAAGTGGTAGAGGTCCTGTGTAGCAAACACACAGTTGGGCAGCAGAAGCTCATGCTTTGAATCCCAGCTACTAAGGAGGCTGAGATCTGATGATCACAGTTCGAAGCCAGCCTGGGCAGTAAAGTTCATGATAACTCATTCTCCCATTAACTAGAAAAAAATACTAGACCAGAGGGGTAGCTCAAGTGATAAAGCAGTATATGTGAGCTAGGTGCTGAGAGAGAATTTAAGGTTCTCAGTTCAAGCCCTGATATCAGCACACACACACACACACACACACACACACACACATACACACACACACACACTTTACTATAACCAAAAAGAAATGTGTATAGCTTTCCTGTTATAGTACTCAGTCTATATTTAATTTACAATAAACTTTTTAACACAATGAATAGAGGTATAATTTTAATTGGATAGTTTCCAAATATGAATGATAGTGGTTCCCCTAATCCATTTGTTCCAACACCCCAACTAGATGAGTGAAACTGCAGATTATACCTGATCATAGATACATAGGTAAATAGAGATCTACATATATATCTATCTAGATTTTCCTACACAAACATACCTACAATAAAATTTAATTTAAAAAATAGGCCCAGTAGGAGACTAACAATAGCAGTGAATTGGACAAGTTATAGCAATATACTGTCATTAAGTTCTGTAACTGCAGTTAGTAAATGTTAAGTGGAAAATTTCAGAAGTAAACACAGAGAGAGACTTTATTCTAAAACCACAGAAAGTGAAACTGTGGATAAGGTAGAGCTACTGTACTAAGTTACAAAAACTATTTCCAAATTTCCCTTTTTAATCTAGGCTCAGAGTGTTGTACTGAATCATGTCTGAATCAGAATTTCCAAAGAAGCTTTGCTTATGCTTTCTTACAGGTTGCAGATTTGGGCATGGAGAATTGGATAGCCAGACGACTTACTTTGTTATGTTCTGAGCATTTTTTAAATTGCAAATATCATCCCAGGAAGGCTGAGTGGTTTATCATTTTCTGCCTGTTCAGCAGTGGCATGCAGGCAGCAATTGGCTATATTATTTTTGAGTTAGAAACAAGTTCATTCATTCAAGTTATAGGTATTCACTCACTATTCCTATGTGCTCCACAATGTGCTATGCACGGAGGATAGATGGATAATATATCATTCTTTCCTCCTTCTTTCCTTCCTTCTTTCTTTCTTTCTCTTTCTTTCTTTCTTTCTTCCTTCCCTTTTTCTTGTTTCCTTACATTTTCTTTCTTTTTGCCTTCCTTCCTTCTCGTTCCTTTTTTCTTCCTTTCATGCTGGTACTGGCATTTGAACTCAGGTCCTGAGCACTGTCCCATAACTTTTCCTCTCAAGGCTGGCACTTTACCCCTTGAGCCACACACCCACTTTGGATTTTTGCTGGTTAATTGGAGATAGTAGCCTCACAGACTTTTCTGCACAGTCTGGCTTCCAACTATTTTGTCAGATCTCAGCCTCCTGAGTAGCTATGATTACAGGTGTAAGCCACTAAGGGCTGACATACTTTCTTTTAAGGACTCAACTTGTATGAAAAAATACAAATTTTAGCCACAAAGGCTTTTGGAAGCTTTACCTCTTCCCCCATGATATCCATTGTTCTCCAGAGGTTGTTATGATCTAGGTAGGCGATAGGATTCCACACAGGAGGAAATGGGCCCCTGAATGGGTATGATTTTCCCTGTAAGACAGAGATGTTTTTAAAAGGAAATCTTCAGAACAGCATAAATGTAGTTAAATCTTCTCTGTTTGTATCTGCAGATAAAATCATGTTAGTTATAGATATGTGCTACACACACAAGTCTTTTGCTTCCTTGTGTCACTATTTAATATTTTAGGGTAGAGATTCCTACCCAAACCCTCTGTTGACTAAGTTTGATGTCACATCAAGCACAATAAAAAATGTTCTCTCTGAAATCAGAACCCTTATTATGCAATGTTTAAATGCCAAGACAGAGGTAGGATTAGGATACCAAATGAAATCTCATTTGTCAATAATACTTGTGAATATCATAGAATCTAGAGCATAGACAATCAGGACACGTTACAAGTGGATAAAAACAAATTGCATAAATGCAATCCTGTGTAGAAAGAAATACCAGACAGGGCTCCCAGCAAGCTCTCCAAAGGAGTGAGAGCTACTAAGTCAAGGCAGAAATTCCCAGAGATCAGTCAAATCAAAGAAGAAGAATGAGACAATTCCAGGTCTCTGGTCCAGACACGTTGACACCATATGGTTCTCCCCATGGCAGCATCTTGATCAAGCTAGAGGAATACTTCTCAGCAAAGGATTAAAAATAAGGCAGAATGCAAAACATGTCTTGGAAGCTTCACTTGTTAGTGGCAGTTAGGAGACACACACACTGAAGAAGAATAAATTCAAATTTCTCAGTAAACCAAAATCTCACAGTAAATCATTCAGAGAAGATTATCTTATATTGTTTTTATACAGAGAAAATGGAGAGAGTTAGAGGTGTAGCTCAGTTGGTAGAGTGCTAGGCAATGAACAAAAGTGTCATGTACTGAGTTCAAGTCCTAGTCTTGGAACAGAAAAAGAAAAAAATATAGAGAAACTGGAATTTTGAAATAGGAAGCGAAAACAGGGGTTATACTGTGGGGGAGGGGCATACAAAACAACAAAGAAATATCTTTTAAATATGTTAGAAACAATAGCAAGAAAGAAAAAAAACATTTGAGTCCTTATCTTGGGGTTCATTTCGCCTAACATCAACTTATCTGACCTTTTCTGCTTGTCTCAAACATATACTAGTTATTGCAAATAAGGGAAACCATAGGACCTATGTTTCTTTGGGCCTGGCTTACTTCACTTAATATATTTTTTTCCAAGTCTTTCCATTTCTTAACAAATGGAGCAATGTCATTCTTTCTGATGGAAGCATAGAATTCCATTGTGTATATATACCACATTTTCTTGATCCATAGGGATACAGGTGGACCCATTGCAACAATGAGATGTACAAGTCGTTATGTCGAAAAATGAATTTTACAACTTTGGCGTGGGGGGGGGAGAGAAGGGAAGGGATGGCAAGGGGGAAAAAGGAGGAGGCAACAATGCTTGATAAGAAATGTATTCATTACCTTGCCATGTAATTGTAACCCCTCTGTATGGCATTTTCACAATTTAAAAAGAAAAAGAAATAGGAAGAGATCTCAGGCTCTTCTTTGTGTTAACTCTATGGCAGGCAAATCTCTCCACCAAGGGTATGAGATTCTTAAGGAAGAGTTTTTCTCAATCAGTATACTCCAGAGAAACAGAAAAGAGAGACCGAGACAGAGACAGTGAAAGAGAGAGTTTAGTTTTATAGAACTAGCTTGTGTGACGAGTGATTGGCAAGTCCAACGTCTTCAGAGTACAGTGTGGCTTAGTGGTGGAGTGTTTACCTAACATGCATGATGCCTTTGGTTCAGTTCCTCAGGACCACATAAACAGAAAAAGCCAGAAGTGGTGCTGTGGCTCAAGTGGTAGAGTGCTAACCTTGAGCAAGAGAAGCTCAGGAACAGTGACCTGGCCCTGAGTTTAAGCCCCAGGACTGGCAAAAGAAATAGCAGCCTGTTAGCAGAATTCTCTCTTCTTCTGGGAAGTTCAAAATGCTTTTCTGTTAAGCTTTTTCTGTTAAGAGTATTGGTTCAGAAAGGGAGAATTCCCTTGTGACTCATGAGCTTGGCCCGGGAAAAGGGCTAAAGGTAAATTTTGAAAGAGGGCAAAGTCAATCAACAAACCATAACAACCAAAGCGGCACTCACCCAGACTTGTGTGCTTGATACTTTTGCCCCCATCTCTGCCTTCTTACCCCAGGGACAGCATCTTTGACTAATATGTGCTATGTGTAAGCAATATGAAGGAATGGCGGGGTGTCCCTTCACAGACTCCTTTTGATCCATCCCTGCTCAGTGGCCTAGTTGAAATGACACCCCAGCTGAAATACACAGACTCTCTTTCAATGGGGTCCCAAACACAGTAAGGGGTTCCACAACAAGATTCCAGCAAGATGATGATGACAGAGATCTTCAAATTCAGGAATGCTTTCAGAAAAAAAAGATGTGTTGGAAACGCTAAAACCAAAGTCAGAATAAAAAGTGATCGTGAGAGATCATAGAGAGTGCTGGGTAACACTACATAAAGAACACAAGGCTGAGGAAGAAGGAAGCACTGTGCCCCTTTTATATCCTGACTTGGAATCCTCAGGATCTCATATCCAAACAGGCAATGGCTTAGCTTAGCCAGGTTCATAAAAGCTAGTATTCTTTTATGAGTAGGGACAACTTCTGATAAACACAGGAAAAAGCTATTGTTAGACTCCTAAAGATATTTTAAATCTTCAAGCTTCAGGGAGTAAGGAGGAGAGAGAGGAATGGCTATGTTTATAAAGTTACACAATCAAAGGCAGTACAAGAGGACTGGACCTCCTATTTGCCCATGGGAGAGACAGTCCAGTGATTGTTTTGTCCTGAAGAAATTGTGAAGGTATCACAATAAGCTCCTAGTTCAGGATGTGCCCCAAGTCACAAAGCCAAATAGCAGATAGCATTTTTGTTTGAACCTCCAAATAGCCCTATGAGATAACCTAATAGAAATATATTCTTTCTTTTATAGATAAAGAAAATAAAGCATAGACAAGTTAAAATTAGTAGCTCAGGATCTTACATCTCATAAATAGAAGCTACTGGAAGCTCAACTGAACTTATAGCAGCTATATAGGTCAAACGTGTGTGTGTGTGTGTGTGTGTGTGTGTGTCCACATGTCTGTGTGTCCATGTGTCTATGTATATAGGATAGGAAATGTCTGGCAATTCTCAACACTCATTAGCGTATATAAACACATAAACTGGTGATGATATCAAAATTCTTTTGATCAAAATTAAGCAAGTGCCATCTGGATGCTGATGGCTCACACAGGTAAATCCTAGCTTTTCAGGAGGCTGAGATCTGGAGGATCACAATTCAATGCCTGGGCAGAAAAGTCCATGATGTTTTTATTGTAAAAGTTTGAGAAAGGTTATAAGATAATTAAAAATATTTTTATTATCTTTATGTAGTTGTTCAAAGGAGTTAAAATTCAGCAGGATGATTTTAAGAGGCCAATAGAACTGATTTGAACTGGCTCTGAAATGTGCTAGCAATTTTGAGGACAGGCCAATCAATCAGTATTTATAAGTTTTCATTCTTTTCTTAATTACATAAATGGTTCTGGGGTTGGAATCCAGGGACTCTCTGCCAATGAGCTGTACCTTTCGTTCTGTTACTTTTAGAATCAGAATCAATATATTCATCTCACAGGTGTGCCATGGAGATGGCCTGAGATTATATAGAGCACATAGAATACATGTGGTAAATGGTTATTTCTGTGATTGTAATAAATGATCTGTCATCCCTGCAACCACTTTGTGCTCATAAATCCATTGTTACAATCTTGATTCATCTCTTTTGGCTAAATTCCCAGAATTGAATTTCTGGCATGGAGATTTGGGTTTGGCTTTTTAAATCAAACTTGTTGAAAACCAGCAACTGAATTGATCCTCATGTGGACTTATTTTGGAGCCTGTAAAGACTTGCCAGGTTCAGTCAAAACATAGGAACTCTGCCTCCTGGAATCTTCACAGAACAAAAATAGGCTGGCTGGGCAATGCAGCTATCAGTAATGTCAAGATCAGCATTTCTCATGTTCTTTTTGTTTTCTTGACCTCTTTGCCATCTTGTTCTTTATGTCAAGCTCCATCCCTGTTAGTAGAAACAAGTGACTTGGTTTTTCTTAGAGTCTGTTCCTGAGGAATGACCTTTTCTTCTCAGGATGTTCCCTCTAACTTTCATGGGAATTGTGTCTTTCTGGTCACAGGGACCGAAGGTGGCCACCTGCTCTTTCTCTATAATGCATTTTGTTTTACAGCTACCAACAAGACCTGTTCTTAAATAGTAAACTCATTTGGAGGACTAAGCGTTACTTTGGATTTGCATTTCCAGTTTGAGAAAAAGAACTATAATGTTTCCTATGAGATAAGAGAGAAGTCCTACGTACTCTACTTGAAAAATTCCCTCTGTGATATGCCTGTTTATTGGTCCTTGTTCAGACTTATTTTTATTTCTTTTTTATAGTACTTACATTCAAACTCAGGGCCTCACACTTAGTAGGCAAAGGGCTCCATTTCTTGAGCCATGCCCTTAATCCTTTTTTTGCTTTATTTTTTTCAGACAGAGTATCCTGTTTTGTCCTCGGGCTAGCTTTGGGCTGTAATTTCCCTATTTCTGTCTTTTATGGAGCTGAAATCACAAGCACACATCACCACACCTAGCTTGTTAGTTCAGTTGGGCTCCTGTGAACTTTTTAAAAAAAATTTATTGTGAAAATACCATACAGAGGGTAGCTAGGATTACAGGCATAAGCCATCAGCACCTGGCTAAGGAGAATTTATTTTTAAAGAAGAAGTAACAAAAATAATGAAAATAGCTCCCCCTTTTTGTGCTTCCCCTTTTGATACACTTTGCATCTATTCTTTGTACTTCATCACAATACCATAAGAGAGCAAATACTGTCCTTTTGGGATGGATATACTTAAGTTCTTACAACAAATTCTCACAACTAGTTAAGTGGCAGCAAGATTTTAATCCACACATTCAAAGGCCAATGCTCTTGACCAGGAACCTCTCCAGCCTCTTCTAATTAC